AAGCGTGTTGATCACTGTAGCTGATGAACCGCGGGGGCACCTGCCGAAGTGGGGGCGCGCTCGCGACTCCGATGCCGAGGAGACGTACTACGCCCCCCCTGTGCACCATGGTCGAAGGCGACAGCTACGGACTCGACTCAGGCGAAAACGGTCGATACGTTGAACTATGCTTTACGACAGAAATGTCGAAGGTAGTCTTGTCCGAGCAGCAACGCATGGTATTGAATGCCGACCGGGTGACCACCATGCGAGTATACGTTACCGCCGCTGCGAAGCGAGCCGTTGCCGTCAAGGAGGACGACTTCATCGCTAAAGCTGACGCCCATGCGAATCCCGATAAAGTATCGAAGGCGCTCTTCACTGAGCTCAAGACATGGTTCGACAACACATGCTTTAAGGTGCAGGAGATAGCCAACGCGTCGAACCTCATGGCTTCGAGATGCGTGTACACATGGAAATTCGTGAAGAACGATAAGGGCGAGATGAAGCGTACCATCCGACTACGCTTGGTACCCCGTGGTTTCATGGCCCTTGAAGGTTTCGACGTAGAAGCAGTTTCGGGAACGGCAAGACGGTCAAGCCAGAGGTGACTCGCTAGCATGACAGCGCGCAAGAAGCAGTGGGTCATGGCTTCCCTCGACAGCAACGTGGCCTTCCAGAGGGGATTGACTTATCAGGAACTTACTGAGGCTACTGGTGAAGAGGGAACGCGCGGTGTGCTTTACCTTGCCGCCTGGATTGGCCACTGTGCTCCGTGCTCTTCTTGGATTCGAGAACTACGACGAGTCAAAGCACTGCCTGCAGTGCTTGAAACTGGGCACAGGCACTAAGGGCGCTCCACGTGCTTTCTCACTTAAGCTCAGAAGAACCTCCAGGGGATTTGGCCTCCGACCCACGTCTTACGACGAGGAGCCCGAGACGAGCAATAACTTGCTCACGGCCAAGCATGTTGATGACATTAATATGTTCGGCACTGAGGGCGCCATTGGCAAATATGTTAAATGCGTTGAAGATACTTTCGGCCAGCGGGGGAGCCTTTTGGGGCGCTTCGGGGCCGTCTTGGAGGCCATCTTGGGCGTCTTGGAGGCCATCTTGGGCGTGTTGGAGGCCTCTTGGGCCGTCTTGGGGCCATCTTGGGGCCATCTTGGAGGCCACTTGGGCCGTCATGGGGCCCTCTTGGGGGCCCCTTGGGCGATCTTGGGGGCCTCTTGGGCCGTCTTGAGCCGTCGGAATGCCGAGAAGAAACACATTCCCAAATCCTTAAAAAACTTACGGACAATGACAGATTTTGGCCTCTTCGGGCCCTCCAGGAGGACCTCTTGGAGGTCTCTTGGGCCGTCTTGGAGGCCTCTGGGGGGCCTCTTGGGCCTTCTTGGGCAGTCTTGGTCTCTCTTGGGCCGTCTTGGAGGCCGTCTTGGACCATCTTGGACGGACTTCGAGGCCATCTTCGCGATTTTTGGAGGATGTCCCGAACGAAACGGCCGTTTCAGGGAGGATTTGTTGTGCACGTTGGGGTCCTGGAAGAGCCTCGGGGCCGAAGCGCCAGGGGGTGTTCTTTTGGAAAGAGAAACAAAACCAACACCGATAGGATCCGGCACGCCAGGCACCCTGGCGATGAATCGACAGAGGGCGGCGGATCGAAGACGCCTACGACGAATCACCGCCGCCCCCTGCCTTTTTGGAAGCGCTTATGTGGCCGAACGTCGAGGTAAGACCTGCCAAGCTATCGGGCCATGTGTTCCCCGAGTCGGTTTGGAAAGCCTTCGGGGAACACCTTGGCGCGTCTTGGAGGCCATCTTGGGCGTCTTGGAGGCCTCTTGGGCCGTCTTGGGGCCCTCTGGGGGCCGTCTTGGAGGCCACTTGGGCCATCATGGGGCCCTCTTGGGGGCCTCTTGGGCGATCTTGGGGGCCTCTTGGGCCGCCTTGAGCCGTCGGAATGCCGAGAAGAGGCACATTCCCAAATCCTTCAAAACCCTGAGGAACATCAATGATTTCGGCCTCTTCGGGCCCTACAGGAGGACTTCTTGGAGGCCTCTTGGGCCGCCTGGGAGGCCTCTGGGGGGCCTCTTGGGCCGTCTTGGGCAGTTTTGGACTCTCTTGGGCCGTCTTGGAGGCCGTCTTGGACCATCTTGGGCGGACTTGGGGGCCATCTTGGGCCATCTTCGATTTTTGGAGGATGTCCCGAGCGAAACGGCCGTTTCACGGAGGATTTGTTGTGCACGTTGGGGTCCTGGAAGAGCCTCCCGGGACCCCGGCGGGACGGGCCGAAACGCGTGGGGGAGTTCTTTTGGAAAAAAAACCAAAACCAAAACCGATGGGATCCAGCACGCCAGGCACCCCTGCGATGAATCGACAGGGGGCGGCGGATCTATCGAAGACGCCTACGGCGAATCACCGCCGCCCCCTGCCTTTGTGGAAGCGCCTATGTGGCCGAACGTTGAGGCCAGACCTGCCAAGCCATCGGACCATGTGTTCCCCGAATCGGTTTGGAAAGCCTTCGGGGAACACGTGGGCGTCTTGATGGTCATCGTCGCCGTCTTGGAGGCCTCTTGGGCGATCTTTCGGCGATCTTTGGGGGCTCTTGGGCCGTCTCGGGCCGTCGGAAGGCCGAAAAAAGGGAAATGCCCAAATCCAGCAAAAACCTTGGGAAAATCAGTGATTTTGGCATCTTTTGGCCTTCCTGGAGGCCTCTTGGGGGCCTCTTGGGCCCTTTTGGGCCAGCTTCGAGCCAACTTCGGCCATCTTGGTGGGTTCCTGGCACGTCTGACGCCGTCGGGAGCCGTTTTGGGGGCCTTTCTGGGCCAACGGGGGACCCTCTTGGGGCGCTCCAGGGCCGTCTTGGAGGCCATCTTGGGCGTCTTGGAGGCCATCTTGGGCGTGTTGGAGGCCTCTTGGGCCGTCTTGGGGCCCTCTAGGGGCCATCTTGGAGGCCACTTGGGCCATCAGGGGGCTCTCTTGGGGGCCTCTTGGGCGATCTTGGGGGCTTCTTGGGCCGTCTTGAGCCGTCGGAGAGCCGAAAAGGCGCAAATGCCCAAATCCTTCAAAAACCAAGGGAAAATCAATGATTTTGGCCTCTTCGGACTCTCCTGGAGGACCTCTTGGAGGCCTCTTGGGCCGTCTGGGAGGCCTCTGGGGGGCCTCTTGGGCCGTCTTGGGCCGTCTTGGACTCTCTTGGGCCGTTTTGGAGGCCGTCTTGGACCATCTCGGGCGGACTTGGAGGCCATCTTGGGCCATCTTCGCGATTTTTTGAGGATGTCCCGAGCGAAACGGCCGTTTTTGGAGGATTTTTTTCCGGATTGAGGTGTTTTCGGCTTCCTCCCGGGACCCCGGCGGGACGGGCCGGAGCCCACTGGGGAGTTCTTTTGGAAAAAGAACCAAAACCAAAACCTGAAACATCCAGCACGCCGTGCACCCCTGCAAGCAGGGGGCGGCGGATCGAAGACGCCTACGGCGAATCACCGCCGCCCCCTGCCTTTGTGGAAGCGCCTATGTGGCCGAACGTTGAGGCCAGACCTGCCAAGCCATCGGACCATGTGTTCCCCGAATCGGTTTGGAAAGCCTTCGGGGAACACGTGGGCGTCTTGATGGTCATCGTCGCCGTCTTGGAGGCCTCTTGGGCGATCTTTCGGCGATCTTTGGGGGCTCTTGGGCCGTCTCGGGCCGTCGGAAGGCCGAAAGAAGGGAACTGCCCAAATCCATCAAAAACCTTGGGAAAATCAGTGATTTTGGCATCTTTTGGCCTTCCTGGAGGCCCTCTTGGGGGCCTCTTGGGCCCTTTTGGGCCAGCTTCGAGCCAACTTCGGCCATCTTGGTGGGTTCCTGGCACGTCTGACGCCGTCGGGAGCCGTTTTGGGGGCCTTTCTGGGCCAACGGGGGACCCTCTTGGGGCGCTCCAGGGCCGTCTTGGAGGCCATCTTGGGCGTCTTGGAGGCCATCTTGGGCGTGTTGGAGGCCTCTTGGGCCCTCTTGGGGCCCTCTAGGGGCCATCTTGGAGGCCACTTGGGCCATCATGGGGCTCTCTTGGGGGCCTCTTGGGCGATCTTGGGGGCTTCTTGGGCCGTCTTGAGCCGTCGGAGAGCCGAAAAGGCGCAAATGCCAAAATCCTTCAAAAACCAAGGGAAAATCAATGATTTTGCCTCTTCGGACTCTCCTGGAGGACCTCTTGGAGGCCTCTTGGGCCGTCTGGGAGGCCTCTGGGGGGCCTCTTGGGCCGTCTTGGGCCGTCTTGGACTCTCTTGGGCCGTTTTGGAGGCCGTCTTGGACCATCTCGGGCGGACTTGGAGGCCATCTTGGGCCATCTTCGCGATTTTTTGAGGATGTCCCGAGCGAAACGGCCGTTTTTGGGCACGGTGGCGGGACGGGCCGGAGCCCACTGGGGAGTTCTTTTGGAAAAAGAACCAAAACCAAAACCTGAAACGTCCAGCACGCCGTGCACCCCTGCAAGCAGGGGGCGGCGGATAGAGTGGTCTTCGGCCCATCCCGCCACCGTGTCTGGGCTGTGCGCCAGAGCCCTCTTGTATGCCTTTTAGGTGGGTGCCTCTTGGAGGCCTCTTGAGCGCTCCTTGGCAGTCTCGTTCGCCATCTTGTCACTGGAGGGCTCCTAGGGGCCATTTCGACTTCCTCCCTCTGAGGCCGAACACCTTTAAGATCAAACGACTTTTCAGTGCTTTTCGGCTTAGGGAGAAGCCACGCGGGAACATCTGAGAGCGCCCAGACACGCCCAGAAGCGCCCCAGGATCTAGGGTTTGGGGCCCTGATTGATCATTTTCAATGCTCAAGGCATGGATTTTGATGAAGGTACCCAGGGACACTCCACTCAGTACTTACGGTGGTGGTTTCTGACAGGAGCACGAGGCAGTGTGTGAGATGATGCTAGATGTAGATGTGCCAATTTTGCATCCCAGTCAACTCACGGAAGATGCCCCTCGGTGATGCCCGAGAGTGTGACATGATTTTTAGATGTCAGCGGAAGGCAGCGGCCATGATCTTCTGTTTGCCAGGTCTTCATGATTCTGTTCGGGCAGACGCTCATACTGAGCTTGTGCCGCTCCAGACGTTGCCCTCTCTTGCGCCATCAGCCTTTTTGTTCGAGTCGAGTGCGACGATGGATGCGCCCCAAGTTGCATTGTCATTGTACGGTTGCAGTGCGTTCAAGTTCCCAGCGATAGCGTAGGCCCAGAACGCCACGAACGACATATAGACATGCTTGTGACTTCTATCCCTCGTCGCCAGTCACATCGCTGGGGCAGAGTGAGGAAGATTTTTGTAGTGGCCTCCTGCCAGTGCCGCCGATTCGGGGCTCCTGATAATGCTCGGGTTCGCTTGGAGGCTTATGGGGCCGTCTTGGGGCCCTGTTGGGGCGGTCGAGAATTCAACCCGGGAATTCGCTCCAAACCCGGATTCTTTTGAGTCGAAACCCAGTCTCGGAGCGGATTCGCGAAACCTTGAATTCCTTGTGAAACCCGGAATTCTTTGCCAAACCCGGAAATCTGGTTCGGAGCGAAACTCGAAATTTCTACAGGCGCGGAATAATCGAATTCTCTGGGATGGAAGGCGGAATGAGAGAGAGAGAGAGATTGTAGGATTTCCCCTTGAGTTGGGGAGGACGAGGCCGGAATGTCTGGGACGATGCGGAGGTGCGCAAAATAATGTTGTGAGGGTGACTAGGTGGACAGGGGCGATGATGAAATTTGAGGAGGGGGAGGCAGGTTATGGGGAATCAGATAATCGTGCCTCCTGCGCTTTCTCTAACTAGTCTTCCTCTCTGCTGTGCTTCCCATCTCTGTCCAAGAGCTTCTTAGTGTCATAGCATATATCTGGTTCGTTCGTATTCTCAATATTTTGTCCGAGTGTCGACGAGGAGCTGGAGGAATAGCGGAGAAGGAAAAGGAAATGAAGGAGGCGTTGTCGGCGTCGGAGAAGGAGGAGGAAGAGGAGGAGGAGGCGGAGGAAAAGGACGAGTTCGTGGGGCAGGATCGCGGAGGAGAGGACGACGACGATGGGGTCGAGTGGGAAACAGTACCACGGCGAATCTGTAAATGACTTCCATCGCGAAAGATAGGGGGTTTCAAGTTGGCATTTTCGTCGGCGCTCTGATTGGCGGGCGGGCGCGCTTGCCTTACAATTGGGATCTCGAGTGGTTTTGGTTTCCAGCCAGAGGCATCGTGATGGCAAGATTAAGTCGGATTGCGCCGGGGTTGTCGTCGATTGTCGTTTGCCCTCATTTGGTCTTGAGTCGTTGCTTGTCTGCGTTGATGCTAGGGTTGTTGTTGTTGTTGTTGTTGTTGCTGTTGCTGTTGCTGTTGCTGTTGTTCTTGTTCTTGTTGTTGTTGTTGTTGTTGTTGTAGCCGTCGTCCTTGTCGTCGTCGTCTCTGTCGTTGTCGGCGCCCTACTCGCTGACGGGTGCGTTCACCGTGGATTTGAATTCATGGATTGTTTTTCGTAATGGGCCCTAAGCACGATGGTGTGAACAAATTCGGACGGCTTGCGTCGTTGTCGTCGTCGTCGTCGATGGTTGTTTGTTTTCCGCGGGCCGCGACCCTTCGGTTGTCGACGTTGCGTTTGTTGTTGTGGTTGTCGGTCGTTCGTGCTGTCTTATTCGTCGTCGACGTCGTTGCCGCCGTCGTCGCGTCATTAGCTGGATTCGCAGACGGGCGCGTCTGCCCTAGAATTGAAATGTCGGGGTTGTTTTGGTTGTCAGCCCGAGGCACGGTGATGGCAGAGTTCGGTCGGATTGCGTCGGGGTTGTCGTCGATGTTCATTTTCCTTCTGTTGGTCGCCAGTCGTCGGTTGTTCTTGTTGTCTGCGTTGTCGTCGTCGTCGTCGTCGTCGTCGTCGTTGTTGTTGTTGTTGTTGTTGTTGTTGTAGCTTCTGTCCGTGTCGTCGACGTCGTCGTCGCTGTCGTTGTCAACGTTCTACTCGCGGACGGGCGCGTCCACCGTGGAGGTGAAATCTGGATTGGCTTTGGCAATGGACTCGAGGCGCGAACGAGGGTTGGAACTAATTGGGGCGGCTTGCGTCCTTGTCGTCGTCGTCGGGGATGCTGTTTGTTATTCGGGGGTCGCAAGCCGTCGGTAGCCGCCGGTGCCTTCGTTGTTGTCGTTGTCGGTTGTTCGCGTTGTCCTCGTCGTCGACGTCGCCGTCGCCGTCGTCGCGTCGTCGGCTGTATTCGCGGACGGGCGCGTCTGTCTTAAAATTGATCGCAGCGCGGTTCGGTCTTCAACCCGAGGCATGGGGATGGCAAAATTAGGGCGGTTTGGGTTGTCGTTGGTGTGCATGATCGTTCGTTTTTCGTCGGTCGCCAGTCGTCGGTTGTTGTTATCGCCGTCGTTGTTGTTGTCGTTGTCGTTGTCGTCGTCGTCGTCGTCGTCGTCGTCGTCGTCGTCGTCGTCGTCGTCCTTGTCGCCGTCGTCGTCGTCGTCGCTGACGTGGCCGTCGCTGCGGGCGTCAGCGTCCGTGCGCGGGGGCGGTCTCGTCTGCTTTAAAATGAAGTTTCGGAGTGGGTTTTGTTTTGTGTCCAGTGGCGCGGTAATGTTCAAATTAGGGGGGCTTGCGTCGTCGTCGTACCTCGTCAGATGTCGTTCGTCCTCTTGTTGGCTCTGGTTGTCGGGCGTCGTTGTCGCAGTCGTTGTCGGTGTTTTTGCTGTTTCTCGATGTCGCTGCCGTCGTCGTCGCCGCTTTCGGCGTCGGTGTTTGCGGACGGGCGCGTCTGTTTGAAAATGAAGTTTGGGCGTGGTTTTGGCCATCAAGGTGAGCTCTGGGGGATGTTCAAATTAGGGCGCCTCCATTGTCGTCGTCGCGGCAAGAACTACGTCGGCTTGCGAAATCCAGGAGCGGTTTTGGAAATGTCTTGTTGGTGCGTGGTCACGTGAATGGATGCGAGGAGGACGCGAAAGTGGCAGCGGCGTTGGGGTAGAGGGGGGCGGGGAAACAGGAAGGTGGGCCGACGGCGGAGGTGGAACTGGAGGAGGTTTTCAGGCAATGGTAAAAAGGGGGTTGGGATTGGAGGGGGCGGTCGCCAACTATGCCTTTTGGCAATGGAGGTTCCTGGGTTCGGGGTGGCCTTGGAAGGGGAACGTTTGGAGGAAGAGATGAGCCAATGGTGTTCTCGTAAGGAAGTGGTTGGAATCGCGACTGGTGGTCGCTTTGGCAGTGCCAAGAGTCTTGGCGACGTTTGCTTATTCTTCGTCTTGCGGCTGTCATCTCGGGATCCGCTGCTATTCCGGACCTTACTGTGTCTCCTTGTTTCGGCGTTGGGCATCTGCTCATTCGTGACGTTTGCCGTCGCGCGATTCCCTGCCGTAAGCGAGGGATGTTCTTGAAGGGCGACGCGTGCACGTAGAGATCGGACGGCGTGCTTCTTCAATTGACGTATCCCAGCGATCCAGGTAATGTTCGTCAGGACGGGGCGTTGTTCCGGTGTGTTTTTGGGTGATCCGCTGGCTTTCAGGAGGGTTCGGATTTGACGGGGCTCAGGTTTCAGGACTCCTGGTCTTCTCTGTCTGATTGTTTCGGGTGTCGTCTGCCGGCGTTTCTGGTTTCCCCCAGAGATTTTTGGGTTGCGGTTCCTGGTTCCGGGTTTCGGCCGGGCCGAATCTGGGTTTCGCCTCTTTCCGGGTTCCAGGTTTCGGCTCCGCAAGAATTGGGGCTCACGCTCGGACCGCTCGGACCACGTGGGGCCGTCGTAGGAGGGATATTTGAGCCTCTTGGGGGCTCCTGGGAGCATTTTTGGCTGTCTTGGGGCGTCCCCGGCCCGTCGGGCGCCGTCGGAAGCTGTCTTTGGCGCCTCGCTGCGCCGTCTGGGAGCCCTCTGGGGGCGCTTCAAGGCCGTCTTGGATGCCATGAGCGGGCCGTCCTGGGATCCTTTTGGGGCCGTCCTAGGAGCCTCCAGGGCCGTCGTGGGGCCATCTTGGAGGCCTCTTGGGCGATCTTGGGGGCCGCTGGGGCCGTCTTGGGCAGTCGGGAGGCCGCTCTTAAATCAAATGCCAGAATCCTTTCGAACACCTCAGGCAAATCATTGAGTTAAGCCCATCTTGAGGGCATCCTGGGCCATCTTGAGTACACATTGCCGTCTGGGAATTCTCTGGGGGCCATCTTAGACTCTCCCCCCTCAAGGGTGGGAATGTGGCGGATGCTTGCAGATTTCAGCCCCACTAGTGTCGCGCCTTCGCCTCGCTCACCTCACCCGCCTTTTTTTCTCTCTCGCCCATGTCCAGTCTCACTCATATTCGGACAACGCACACTCATGCTCAGTCATGCACAGCCTCACTCACAGTCACACCCACTCACATTCACACTCACGCTCACGCTCACACTCGCGCCCTTATTCATGCTCGTACTCACGCTCACACCCACATTCGCACTCACTCTAACTCTTCACACTTGCTCTCACACTCACATCCACACTGACACTCACTCACACTTTGGCTCACGCATATTCAGACTCACTCACACACATACCCGCCCATACTCATACTCATTCGTACTCTGGGGCCCATAATCATTTCCGTACTCAGTTGCCTTATTGCTCAAATTGTGTGATGCTCAGACTCACCCATGCCCTTACCCATGCCCATCTCCACCCGTGCTCAGACTCGCCCATACTCAGTGGATCATGCTGTCACTCGTACTGAGAGGCTCATGCTCCGATTCACTCCTCGTCGATTTGCCCTCCAATTTAGACCTGTTCATATTCAGAGCTACTCGGGCTCCGACCTATTCATACACAGGTCCACCCATACTCACTTTTAGCCATTTCTGAGACTCGTATTCAAAGTCGCTCACACTCAGGCAGACTCATACTCAAACCCATTCATACTCAGACACACGCGATCTCAGACCTTCTCGTGTCTATTCACGCAGACTCACTGGTCCAACCATGCCTAGATCCACTCCAGATCAGATCCACTCGTACTCATGGCATTTCAGCAGCCTACAGGAGGATGGGGGCTGTGGGGGTGGGTGGGGGGAGCCAGTGGACTTCACGGGCGCGTTCGCCCAGGTTGTTTCGGACCTCTCAGTCAGAATGGCCCTCCTTGGCAC